ATATATAGCCTATAGTTGACATCTCCACAAATAATTAAGTAATAATAAATAGTTAGTTTCATCTCATTACCAAAAAACATTAAACCTCAAAATTACAAAATCAAACATGGGAACAACTTCATAAAAGACTGTTACAGTGTTTTGAGAAATACACTTTTACACAAATACAGAAAACAAGTCTTTTATGCCAACAGAAAGAAAGAACAAATAGATTGACACCACTCTATGTCTTCTAACTATGATGCTACAACCAGAAGACGTTAGCGTTGCTTAGCATAAAGACTGGAAACAGCTAGCCTGGCTCTATCCTCCTAAAGCTCACATATTAATGCTAATCTTGTTTATTTAATTTGTGCAAAAACAAAAGGGACAAGTTGTCATTTTCATGGGCAGTTGGATGACTTCCTGGAGTCTTGTTGTCACCGTGACGTTACCAGGCAACCAGCAATGACTCCAGGAAGTCATTAAAACAAACAAGATACAGCATGTTAATTTGTGAGCTTTCTGGTAGGTGGATTTTGTAACTGTGGGACAGAGCCAGGCTAGCTGTTTCCTCCTGTTTCCAGTCTCTGTGCTAAGCTAAGCTAACCGACAGCTGCCAGTTAGCTGTCGCGACTAAGCATGTTGTATTTCCCAAAAACTCAAATTATTCCTTCACACTCCAGAGTCCAAGTACAAAGTTAACTATATATGTTTCAATAAACCTCTAAAAGAAAAACACAGTGGCAAAAAATTATTGAGTTCAAACACAGTCAAAGATTAGTGGACTACACATTAGGGACAAGCCCTGTTACTTTCAATGCTATATCTGAAACAATAATGCAACTTGTGACGCAACTTCTTAAATATTTTTGAGTTGTAGAAAATCCAATGAACAAATCTGAGGGGAAAAAAAATAACAAATATTTTTTCTATCATCCTATTGGTTTACTATGTTGACCGACGCCTCCCTGGTTGCCCTCACATCTACATTCACTTCACATGTTCACCATATAAACTAAATATACTTACATACAAATTAGTGTTCTTGTACTTGCAGTGTGATGAACCCTTCATACAGTCCAGAAAGCATACTTTTCATTTTTAATAAATTATATTTATACTTAGAATTTAAAACACTAACTGACACACTGCTTTTTAACTCAAGCATTGCCCTATCATTTCTTTTCATTCAGATTGTTTTTGTAATTTACTTTTATTTTCTTATGTTTTTGTATTGGTCTGTATTTTATTTAATTATGTAAGTATGTGTAATAAATTATTAGGTTTATTTACAGCATGTATAATATAGAGCATCTTTAGCTCATAAAATGTCTTTGATTATATCTCTTATCTTTTATGTACAGATTTATACTGAAATGTCTTTTCTAATGAATGGAAAGAATTATCAGAATCATTTCAGTGTTTTACAGAACAACAAACAAGAAACACAGTGGAAAGACCAAAATGAAAAAGGTGTTAAAAACAGAAAAGGGATCAAAGAAAGGATCTAAGGCAAGTATTAAGACTACAATTTATTCCACATATTCTTTAACTAGATGAGGGTGTGTGGTATGTTCCGGGTCTGTCTCGCTGAAAGGGTTAAAGTTGAGTATGGTAGCATTCTTTAGTGTGAGGAGGCTGCAACTCTCCCCGATCTAATCCACTTCCTCCCCAGGAAATGGAGAAGGCGGATTTCTGCCCACACTGCAATTTCCTCCCTCATTCTTTTTCTTTCTGCCCCCCCTTCACCCTCCTCCTACTCTTTCTCTCTCTCTCTCCCTTCGTTTCCCTCTCCCCCCCTCAGGACAAAACTCCCTCTGAGTGTGGGGGTTAATGGATGGCTTGTTTTCCAGCACATGTGTGTTTAGATAGGCAGGAGGAGAAAGGACAGAGGTGTTTTGGACTGTGTGAGCAGTGACAAAGACATGTCGCTGTCTGTCTGAGAGAGGAGAGTGGATCCCCACCAGGAGCTGCCATAAACTAAACACTGAGGAAAAGGGAAAAAAAAAGAAGAAATTTTCCTGACCTGCAGATGTGTGAGAGAGTCATGGCTGTGTTTGAAATGTGAGTAAAACAAAGTGGGACTTCCACATGTCTGCGGATGTGAACTGACCCATCGGTTTACTCGACAGGAAACTCAACACGGACCTGTTGAACGTTCTTCCTTTTTCTGCAACAATGCAAAAGAGGAAGTGGGCTGAGGGAGTTTCCTGTGCATCTCATCCAGCCTCAGCCTTTGCAGACGCCCAACCCAACGCCCCACAAAAGCCCTGAACTTCACACTTGCCAGAAAAAAAAACAAAACAAAAAAAAAAAACAGGTTAAATATTGACGGACGCATGGACAAAGCAGCTCAGGGTTACTCTTTGAACACAGAGCCTATCTCTTGGCACAGCTCCAGCCCCGCCTGCTCTATGATTGGTTAAGCAACAGTGAGCCGATGCAACCGAACCGAAGCTCCATAGAGCCGTAAACTTCACCTTATTGCTTAATTTCGTTACCTTTTCAAAACATATTCCAACATGTTCTTCTTTACTGACTCACCTGTGGACCGTTTGCTTCTCTAGTGTATTTCTACTGTGTAGCTGGTTTGTTCTGATTCAAAGTAGACAATTAATAGACAATCAGTGCTTCTAAACAAAAACCACATGACTCCCAATTAGTTTGTTTACTGGTCTCGTCTGATTCCAGCTGCTCCAGCTGTTTATACCAGTTTAAGCTCCCAGTGTTTGAGCTTATAAATCAAGCATACCTAATATTAAAGGTGCCCTGTGGAGGTTTCTTGTAAACAAACAAGTTATGTCTACAATCAGTGTTACTCAGAAACATGCTTTGTGTCCTTGAGATCAAATAAACATGCTTTTTTTTTACATATTTAAAGCCTGTTTACATCCACATGTTGATACACTCGCACCACCATCAACAGAAATGGCAAAACCAGTTGTAGGATGTGAATCATGTTGCCTGGAGGGCTGAACGATATGCCAAAAAAAAAGAAAAATCATATTGTGATTGTGATATGAGTCACAAGATCAGTTGAAATGGTTATTTTTGCTCTTCATTTTCATATTTTCAAATGATGATGATATGATTTTTGTTGGGTCTTCCAAACAAGCTTGTCCCTTAACATCTGGAGAATATGACCAGGGCATCTCTGTGGCACCACAATGCTTCATTTATGGTTTGTTGTGACTCTTCATAAAAAAAACTGCAGCTCCTGCAATTTTGATACTGCATTTGGCTATGTTGCGATTTTGGTAATATTTCGATAATTTTCTTAATTTTCAAAAACTCAGCAGGGTACCTTTAATGTGGACCATTTTCAGCCTGATAATCAGACTTTTGGATTTTTTTTCATCATCAATCTAACAACACATTTATGTTAGTTGTTTTCTGTTTGGTTATTTTGTTTCATTTGTCATAACCCATCAGTAACACATCTGTCACACACAAGTAACAGTTGCTAGTGCAGTTAACTTCTCTGTTTTCCACGATTCCATGATCAAATAAATGTCCATTTACTGCGGGCTGTGTAACAATAACAGTAGAGGCCAACTCAGTGCAACAATTGTGCAAGTGGAGAAGAGTCATTAAGTCACCAAACTGACTGAGCAATGTCAGTTATACAACAACATCTATCTAAAGTTAGCTTACATTAGCTAGCATTAGCCACCATAAGCTATTGGTCACACCAGACCAAGTAAGGCTGCATCTGAGTGTATTCAGCTGAGAGAGGAGGTGTCTCTAATGAATTTTACTTTTCACTCATTAGAGCAACAATGTGTTTTTTCTTCTTATATAGTCTGACTTTTTTTTTTTTCAGGCTCTGCCACATGACATCATCATTATTTATCCCATCTACCGAGCTCTCATTGGCTCAGATGTTTTTCAACAGAATAATGGCCATCAATGAATACTTGAGCTATTTAAAATCGATTTAAAAATCGAAGGCTATTCAGACCTCATTTTATTTCATAACTACGAGCATGTCACTTCCTTTATTTTTCCCAATCATAGAGGTTTGAAGCCAGGACTAATTCACCCTGCTGATGTACTCAGGGAGCTTCAAGGACGCCGCTAATTCATTGGTCAGTATAAAAAGTGAACGTCTTCTGTATTGAATGGGATAATTAAAACATGATGATTAGAGGAGAAAACATGAAGAAGCAGATGAGTGTTAGCAACAGTCCTGACATAATTATGTTCTGTTAGCCGAGCTGCATCCATGTCCTGCACTTAGTTCTTGTTTGGTATTACGTTATCTTTCTTGCAGGGGTCTTAGTGCCCATACCTCAGCGCTTTCTTCTTCTATCATTCCATGCACACATGTGTTCTCTGCTCCATATTATCTGTACCTGACTGCTGTGTAACTGTTGGTTATTCCAGTGCAGTAGGTCTGTCAGTTCTGGTCCAGTGGATGCGTGTACGGTTCAGGTGTCTGACCCCGGATCTGCTTCAACGCCTCCCAGCTGAGAGGTACGGCATGACTGGGCCAGCACTCATGCAGCGATAGTGGTGTGTATGTGTGTGTGTGTGTGTGTGTGTGTGTGTGTGTGTGTGTGTATGTGTGTTTGTGAGTGTGTGTGTGTGTGTGTGTTGTCATGATTGGATGTGATGGGTTTTAACTATTAAAGTGATATTCCGCAATGTTTTTATTTATTCATGTTGGCTCTCCTCACTGTGACAACACTGTCTATAGCTTCTGTATAGCTTCTGTTTGCTGTTCTAAACTCTAAGATATTGCTACCTCCACAAGTTCAAACTGTCAGGGTCACAGCTCCGCCCACACAGTTTGAGTGACAGGTGATTTCTGGGGTGAGACCAAATGAAAAATCTGATTTCCCAGATTACCACTTCAGCCAAACATAAACATTTACAGTGAAAGACACTAAAAACACTGACAAAAATCAATGTGTCCTGTTCAATGACCGACTGATCAATGCATGTAGGAGTCACTGCTCTTCTGTGTGTGTGTGTGTGTGTGTGTGTGTGTGTGTGTGTGTATGTGTGTGACTCACGCAGGTGCGCAGGCAGCCTGGCAGGCTCGTCTTCCATTCGGCTGGCTGGCCTCGCGGCGGGAGCATGGACGGGGGAGGAAGTGGAGTTTGGCAGCGGGTTCGCGGAAGGACTGAAAGAGCTCCTCTCCTGCTATGAATAGACACAGAGACACAAAGCATGGCTCACAAAGCTCCACAACGCACCGGCCCTGAACCCAAACAGCCCCACGCCGACTCGCCTCACCTCGCCACGCACCCACAACATCAACTAGGCCTGGTCTACATGGTATGCAGGGCGAGTCTAATAAACTGATGCGCTGTCATGCTGTGAAAACACATTCTAGAGACACCAATGTACCAAATGCCACACATTCAGCACACGTGTTGCTATGCAGCGCAGTGAAGTTACAAACTAAGCAATGCACAGTTTGACAGGATGATAACTTCAGTGGCTGGATTTTCATGACCATGGTCAGAAACCTGTGAGTATTGAACTTACAATGATATGAGACAGAGAAACGTGAAGGTTTGACACTTTTGCTTAAAACATTTAATCTATTATCAGATTTTTTTTCACTAATCAATACATCTACTAATCATTCCAACATTTGATTATCATACTCACTAAGCATCTACATCTACTGTTGCGACTAATCACTTGTAGTGATCGATCTGTCCACTATTGTTTGAATGAATCAATTCCTCTGTCACAGCTTCATGTAACATTTTGTCTGAGCAGCACTCGAAAACCCAGAGGATAGCAAACAATGACACAAGTTTTCTGATAATTCGTTTTTTCGATAATTTATTTTAATAATCAATTTATGATTTAAGTTTTTTTTAACCAAAAATGCCAATTTTTTCCACAATTGCAATGACTCAGTTGATAATTGATCATTCAGAAAATGATCAGCAGATTAACTGATAACTGAAGATGACCCATATGGATTTCTGAGCTGACGTCAACACTGATTACAAATAAAGTAAATAAAGATGGATGGAGCCTCTGTGATGTCACCCACAGGTTTATGAAGAGCGGTTTTGAATTTCAGAGTGGGCTGCTGTGCTGTCGCCATCTTGGCAGTGTCTGACTCTTCCCCTAACCCCTGGTTAATGCAAAGATGGGCAAAGAGCAGGGGCCTGTGCGAAGGCGAGACTTTGGTGCATGCTGGTTTATGGCAAGCATACGATCACCCACCTGTCACTCAAAGCGACCACGCCCTCAATTATGCTGAATTTTTCAGCCCCGGAAAAATTAGATTACATCAGATCACATCTTTTAATAATTGATCAATGTTTTTAGTTATCAGTTATCAATCAAACATGTCAAACATTCTCTGGTTTCAGCTCCACTAAAGATCTGGTAAAGTTCTCTGATTTATATGAGTCTTAATTTGATCCATTTGAGGTTTGGACTGTTGGTCGGATAAAATTAGTAAATTTATGACGTCACCTTGGGCTCTGGAAGGCTGTGGTAGGCATTTTTTACTGTTTTAATAATGATAATTATAATTATAATAATCAGCAGATAAAGTGATGGTGAAAACAGTTATTGGCTGCAGTCCTCTCCAGGACATTCTAGCTCTGCTGTTGTACAGCACACATATTGAATCTAGGTTAAGGTATGAGGTTTTCCACTTTGCGGTCACTCTCTGTTGACTGGTTTCCTTTCCCACAAATGAAGACAAAGCACGAAGACACCTTAGTTTCTTGAGTAAACGCAGTTTAGTCTTTTGCCATTCCTTCCTCCAGTGTCAGCCTGCTGTCACCAGCCGCTCTGAGACCTGCACATCAACTGTATGCACCAGGAATTTCCTGTGGAAGCCAAGCAATAATCTTTCAGTCCTCTATTTCCTCCTCTCAGAGGCAAAGGCTTCTCTTCCCCGGCTTTAGGTCCACTTTCTAAAAATTCTGTTGTCCAGAGACAGGAAGCAGCCTTCACACAGCTGGGACTCGGTCAGGACAGAGCCTGTGATGAAGACAACTGCAGAAAAGGGAAAGTCGTCTGTGACAGCACCAGGCTGCAGTGTGAAGGTGAGGGGGACATCCAGTCTGCAGGCTGCAATGGTGGAAAACTTCTCTGAGTGAAGCGCTGATCATTCTTCAGCATGTAGTGACATCAGACTCAGCAATGAGAAGATGTCCCTCAGAAACTAAACACCACATTTCAGTTTAAGTCACCAGAGATCCTGCAGTGTTTTTGCTTCAGGCTTATTGTCACATCCCGAATAATACTTCTATACTGTTGCTATCAGTGCTAATGATTATTTCAGTGTTCATTTATTTTTCGATTAATTAAATTTTTCTTTTAAATTGTAAAAAATGTCCATCAAAAGTTGTAAGGCCTCAACATGACGACTTCTAATGTCTTGTTTTGTCTGACAAACAGTCCAAGCCCAAAGAAAGCAAATCCTGAAGCAGCAAATATTCACCTTCTGTGCTGGATTAAACACCTGAAACAGGTTGTCAGTAAACAACAACACTGCTTTACATCGGCCAAATAAATGTTCAGCTCCAGTTCCTGTAGACACCAAGGGTGATTCTGTACTGATCATTCAGTTTTCCTTTTCCTGTAGAGTTCATTACTGATCAATAAATGATTGAACATTTAGGTTACAACATGTCAAACACAGTGACACATGTCCATCCCCAACACAGTGTCTTCAGATTGTTTACACAGTCTGACCAACAGTCAAGGCTGGGACAAACCATGGTTTTCATTATCGATTATTTGTTTTTGATCAATCGATAAGTCTATAAAATGAGGAAAAATTCAAAGTGGTCCTCAAATGCATTAATTTGAGTAACTGTCCAAAACCCAAAAGAGCTGCAACCAGTATTTGATTAATTGATCCATCCATTCTCTGCCTCCTCTTCTGTTTTATGTCACTGTGAACTGAATATCTTGTTCAATCAACAAGATGAAACAAAGGAGATTTGTTCAATCAATAATGAAAGTGATTGTTAGTTGCAGCTTTATAAACATATTCTGTTTACGATGATAGAAAAAAGAAGAGAAAATCATCAAATAATCACATTGGTGAAGCTGCTGTTTGCAGATACTTGGCATTTATGCTCAATATCGATTATCAAAATAGCTGCCGATTAATTTTCTGTCGATTGACTGATCATTTCAGACTATAACTGTATTCTTATCACTAAAACGGTTGGTCAGATCAGTGAGTAAACTGAGCCTGGGTTAGTGTTAGAGTTTTCCTAGTATGAGGTACAGGCCAGGAGAGAGTTTAGCAGCTCCAGCTCCTCTGTATTTGTTTTACTGTGACTGAACCCCAGTCGTTTCGTGACGCTTCTCCCTCTGCTCCTGTTTATTCGTGTGTTGTGTCTGTGTTACAGCGCGCCCTTTGATCACTTTTCGTGGCGGTAAATCAAACGTTTTGCGCGTCACACACAGTCACGACTTCTCCCATCACCATCATCACCATCACCACCATCAGCAGAAGAGTGGAGGAGGCTACGTGAACGCGTGGAGCCGCGAGCAACAGATGACGAGCAAAACAAAAGTGAACGGCGCTTACACGTCTGCAGCAGGTGATGTGCAGCTCTGTAAATCCTGCAGGAACATCAGCCACACACTAACAGCTTCACAGAGTGTGCTGGAAGAAAACAAAGAGCCCGTGGTGTTACCTTGGTCGCAGCGGAGGAGGATTCAGACATTATCTCCCGTCAACTTCTCTCCGTCTCCTTCCACTTTTCCGTTCCGCTCTCTTCTTTATCTGCTCTCCGCTCCTACACAGACCCGCTCGGCGGCGGCGGCAGCTCGACTGCTCGGCTCGTTACTGTGGGAGAAGTTGTTTTTCTCATGTAGCCCGCTTCTTTCTGCTTTTTTTTTATCTTTCCAGCTCCATAGCGCGGCTCAGTGTGAAAACTTCTTTTGTCTGCGAGTGTTTTCCTTCACATGTCGGCAGCGCGCTGGTTAATAATCCCTTCCTGGAAGAGCGAGACTGAAGAGAGAGAGAGAGAGCACGGACACCTCTCTCTCTCTCACTCACTCACTCACTCACTCTCTCACTCTCTCTCTCTTGCTCTCTCTCTCTCTCTCTCTCTCTCTCTCTCTCTCTCTCTCTCTCTCTCTCTCTCTCTCTCTCTCTCTCATTGATCTGGATGTGTGTAAAACGGCGAAATGACGTGAATTCCCAGCATTGAGCCTTGCCCCCTTTTAAAGGGAAACCCGAAGCAGGAAATCGCAGCAGGTCTCGTTGCAGACACACACAACTACACACGACCATAGCACACGACTGACACAGACAGACACACTCGTCAGTTACACTGCTTTTCCTTGTATTTGTTTTTTAATCAAAGCTTATTGCAAATGCGGTTACACAACAGGCTAAACCTCCGCGCTTTAATTAGACAGCACGAGTGTAACTCATTAAATGAGGTATAAAGATATCAACCTATAGGATATAGGGACTCCTGGTGATTAATGCATGTGTTATAATTAAAATATGGCATGGGCTTTTGTTTTTTAAAAACGAAATACCATATAGCAAAGTCACCTATAATACAAAATGCACAGGCTACAGTATAAGAAAACGAATAAGATTAGATGAATACTATATGAGACAAAAGTGAATATTAAATAATTTAATTTAAATTTAAAGTCCGTCTACATACTGTGCAATTATAAGTGTGCTGGGACTCGCGTGTAATAGACCTGAATATCAGGAATGAATACTAATACTAATACTAATATTAAAGCTGCACATATCATTATTTTTGCATTAACAATGAATTAAATGACTGTGTGTAATGTGACAGCTGTTGCTCATAGTAACAGACGCACAGTGAATTTTCTCTACTGCAGTTAGCCTAAGCTCTACACAGCGGTTTTGCCTCTTTTAGCTGACTGTTTTGATTTTAGGGCTCATAAGGGCTCCCATCAACCTTGTTTTTCTTAGCAGCAGTAAGAATCTATTTTCAGTGTAAAGCCTCGGATAAACCCACTGTGCTTCTGCTACTCTATGTCGGGATGTGTATATAGGCAATCAAATTGTTTACTATTTACAGAGACTTTATTAGTTGATAATATCTCAATGTTTTATTTACACCATGAAACAATTAATACAGGTTTAAATGACTTGTTGCACAATTAGTCCTTTGCACAAAGTTATCTCCATTGAAACAACTTCACTGGCACAAGATGTTTTGAACAGCAAAAGCCCCCAGAACAACTTTAATGTTCTCTGTCATAGATTCCTAAAGTGTGTGGAACCATTCTTTCCAAAGATATTCAACTCCTTTGGTGTTTTGCTAATGGCAGCAATGAGCAGGTCCAAAGTTTCCTGTGGGTGTTAAGCTGGGTTGAGATCTGGTAATGGCAAAGGCCATAGACTTTATAGTGACTCCTCAAACATCTGACATACAAAAAAGGTTATTGGACTGTACACATCTTAGATTGATGGACCATGAGAATTCGTACATCACTATTGTCAGCCTCCAGGTCAGAACTGACAGTAAATCTGGATTATTTTACAGCACAAAAGCATGCTGAAACCTGAAACCTCAAGCTTCAGAGTCACTGGTGGAAGCAGCTGGTGGAAGGAGGCACACAGAATTATAGAAAAATCACTTCCAACATGTATATTCGCTTCAAGGAGAGGGAGGGGGGACAGGAAACAATGAGGCTGATGGGAAATGTGCTCAAAGTTAACGAGCAAATGCAGATGAGTGAAGCTGAGGGATAATGAATTCATGCTGATACTTAAAAGGGCTGAGACCTTGTTAACAATTGGGATGTACATGTTTTATGTCATTTCATTCGGTTAATTATCTATCTTGATATAATCAGACATGTATGTCAACTGACACTGGTGCAGGCAGTCTCCTGTAAATAGTAATCTGCACATTAATCAAGTTCCTGTCAAAAACTACACCACAAAGGTATTTTTATATGCAATGTTATATATTTAAAGCGACACTAAAGTGTTCATCAGTTTCTGTGTATTTTTTATTTTATTTTTTTCAGTTTTAGTTCTGAAATTGTAATTGTGATAGCTATGGGAATAAACCCACAAATGTATTGAATTGAATTTTATGTTTTCACTAATACATGACAAACTGACAGGAACGATTGTGTCTTTGAAGTAGACAGGTTTTTTAGCTGGTGGGATTGAGAGATTACATTAATGGGATTACAGTAATCAGATTAAAAAAGTGACAAACGTAATATTACACACCTACCGTAAAACTATATCATACACAAATGTAATATATGTACATATCACTGAATTTCCATATATGAAATATATGTACATATAAAATAAAAACATGTAAAAAAGTATATATAAAACCATTTGAAATAAGAACAATATATATGTCTAGCTCATATAAATATGCATGCATGTTTATGTATGTATGCTTATATGTAGACATATATTACATAAATATATATTTATTCCAAAGCCTGTTAGTCTTCTATATGCTGATGATATATACAATAGGAGCCAAAAGTCTGAAACCACTTTCCCACAATAGGATGATAGACATGTGAAAATGAATGAGAAATTAATAGAAAAACATATATAAGCATATAGAATTTTTATGTTGTTCTGCATATATAAATTAAATATAGGCTATACTGTTAACATATATGTTTGCAACATGTTATACCACATAAAAATTCATCATATAGATATTTTTAATAACCTATATGTACAAATTTTACTATGGGTATTTCATATACGTTATAAAAGTATATCTTCATATATCCAGAGGATGTATATATGAGATAAATTTGTATCCCTTATAGGTGACATATAGGCTGTAGCAACTTCACTCTTGATATATGGACATATATGTCAAATATTACATTTCTAGAGATTAATAAATAAGATTAAGTTTAAAGTTATTTTCTGATACTAAAAGAATTAGAAAAAATTTAAACCAGTTAAAATACAAATTTCAAATAATTAAGTTAATTATGTGAATATGAAACCACATTATTTTGACTTTTCTATAAAAAAATAAATAAAAATACAATGACATTAATTATATATTTGCCTGTACTTAACTTTCACTCACAGTGAATTATGAATCTGAATGTATTAATAGGACATAATAGAATATCTGTTAAAAAACTCTGTTTTCCCACTGTGTTCAGCTGTGAAGCAGCAGGGAAACTCTCCTCTGTGTTCAGGTGAGAACAGGGTTGTATGATATAACATATAACACGGTGACGCCCCCAAGCGGTGAGTGGCAGCGTTACAGCATCAAGCCCAGCTGAGGAGAGTTAAGTTTCGGTTTCCAATCTCTAGAAATGATACTGAATTTTCCTTCCTCCTGTGAGCCCAGCAGTCAGTCAGTCATCAGCCGCTGTCTTCTCTGGAGGTGGAAGGAGAACCAGGAAGAGCTTCAAAGATGATGGACTCAGAAATACTGAAGTTTTTCTGCGCCAACCATGGAGCAGTTAACACCGACGATCTGTTGTTTAATCTCTGCTCGGGCGACTCCGCGAAATTATCGCAGATCACTAATAACCGAGAGAAATTTGCTTCGTGTTGTCCCAAAGGCCAGCCGAAGGTGGTGGCCCGGACCAGGCTGAGACTGTGCAGAGTCAAGGACTGTGCGGGGACATGCAGCGGGCTGCACCTGTGTAAGAACTTCCTCTTCAGCGGATCTTGCCGGTTCACTCGGACGAGGTAAATATGTTGGTTTAAAGTGAGGTGAGTCGTGGCTCGCCTCAGACTGGCCTTGGTGTTGAGTAGGCAGTTTGACAGGCCTGTGGCTCCTCTACAGGAGTCTGATTTTTTTTTTTTTTTTAAGAACGTTGATTGTTGAGATTCAGATTATCATCACTTCATTTGTGTGTTTAAAATTGCTTTTTGAAGAATGTCTGAGTTGTCGTTAAATCGACTGTCACTACTGCTAATGTTTACCTGGTTTAAAGGCCTTGACACGCGCGGTGCGTTCACTTGGCGTTGAGAAAGTCCGACATTTAACCCCTACGTTGATTGCAACGTTGACGGTTAACAGATAGTTTAACAGGCTAAATTACCACATTGAACAGCTGTAGCCGTTGTGTCTTTTGAACGTTTTATGTAGCTTCAAAGTTAGACAAACACAATTTCAGGAAAAGTCTCATTTTGTGGGAAGAGTTGAATGACAAAATTGATATAGCTGTCATGTCTGTGCTAAAGATGGAGCCACCGCCAAGATGCTAATTAAGCTAGCTCAGCTTAGTTTAGCTTAGCACGACGACTTCAAACGATGAGAAACAGCTAGCATAACTTTGTCCAAAGGTAACAAAAACTGCCTTTCCAGCACCTCTAAAGCCCATTAACACACAAAAGACAACATATAAACATATTTTCCAAATTTTCAAACCATTTCTTGAAGCTGAACATTTATCGCATACACATGTATACTGTCTCTACGTATTCAGGCACTTATACAGTGTGAAATAACCAAATTCACTATAGTTTTTGAAATTTAATATAAGCTTCATTCCACAGTCATACAGACCATAAAGGCAAGTGTGATGTCTCACAGTGGTGACATGGTATTGTGCAAGTTCTCTTAACAAGTGGTGGCTCAAAGTTCAGTTCAAACAGATGAAAATGAACTAGTTCATGTTAATTTCTTTTCGTCGCTGTTCTTCGCTGTTCTTTTTCAGTACAACCTCCTCCTACCATCCATCCTCAGCCCCCAAACATTGTTACTTCCCAAACTAAATGAAATCCTGTATACTACATGGATACAACAGACAGGAGATTACTTTTAAAAGCTAAGAAAATCCAATGTGAGTAAATATTTTACCACTTAAACAAAGCAGGACAACTCAAAACTGATCAGGTGCAGTAAAGGTAAACAGTAGATTCAATGGAAGTTTTGCTTGGCCTGCATGTAACAAATAATGCAGCAGTTGAAAAACAGATGACAGTCTGGTCCGGGCTACACCAGAGGCTTCATTACAGGCGCTGAAAGATGTGCTATGATTTTAATCCGCATGCAGCGTGTCATTAATACTTGGGTACTGTCGTAAAACACAATTCTTCCTCTTCTGGTGTTTTTTGGCAGTTGGCAAACACCTTTTTGGTGCATTACCACCACCACCCAGCCAGTGAGTGTCCTTAACTCATGTTCAGTTATAGATATATATTCAGTTGAACCATAAATATGAGCATGTTTAATCAGCACTGATGGTGACCTTCAGCCTGTCTGTGTTGACAAGTTTTGCATGAGTCAGGAATACAAACACACTTAACCTCGGTCAATACCTCTTTGTAGCTACCTCTACAACTCACATTTGTTTGGTTATGATACTATATCGTTAGCTTTATGTTTGTCTATCATTTGCTTTTCAGGGTTGACATTTAAATCAGAAAAGGTATTATAATAGTTGTCAGACTCACCAAACCCAGCCTAGCCCTCCATATTTATTCAGCTACATATCCTTTAAGCTAATTTAAATGCACTGTTTTTACAAATCTTCAAACAGAAATCTCTTATTTTCCTGAGCAATGAACAAACTCTGAACTATGTGTGTTGTGTTCTTTGATGACAGGGGAGGATGCAGCTTCTCTCATGAGCTGAACTCTTACCACAACCAAGTGATGCTAAGAGAGCATGAACTGGAGAGTCTGGACAGGACAGAGCTGTGCACACTGCTGCTGCAGAGCGACAACACACTCCTGCCTCCTGTAAGTCTGACAACATACACAAGGTGCATTCAAATCATTCAAATCAGTGTGATCAGTCACAGAGTGGATCAGAACTAAAAAATGGTCGCTTCAGTGTATGGATGGGCACATAGATCCTCTTAAATATAATTACTGGAGACCCCTAGAGCTTGTAAAATATCAACACCTGTACTTGACTAAAATTTTGAAGCCCTTATCTGTTTTATCATCATTACCAGATGTTTGTTGACACTCAGGTTTAGCTGGATAACATCTGTATTTATCATTCTAAAGGAGTTATTCACTGAAAAATAAAATGTTGTCAATATTACAACAGCAATTCACTGTTTTCTTACATTTTCTTCTTGTTTTTGCTTTGCTTGATTATAACCACCTTTTCTCTTTGTCTTATTCTCCCTCTGCCAGATATGTTATGATTACAACAACGGTCATGGAGAGTTCGGCCGATGTCAGGATGGAGATGGTTGCAAGAGACTGCACATCTGTGAGAGGTCCCTGAGCGGTGACTGCAGCTGCTTCAGGCCTCATGATTTTGATGCTCCACAGCCATTGAGAATCCTAATGGAAAGAAATGTGCCTGACAACATTATTCAGTCCTTGAAGTTTGTTTACTCAAATAAAGAGGCTTTAAGATTCTCTGACAACAGGGGTGAAGGGGGAAACAGGGGAAACAGGGGCAACAGAGGCAACAGAGGCAAAGTCTGATACTGGGGAAACAGGGGAAACAGGGGAAACAGGGGCAACAGGGGCAATAGGGGAAACAGGGGCAACAGAGGGAACCCAGGCTACTCTATAAATCTGCCACGAACCTGCTCTACTAGCGACATCCTTGCTGACATGGATGACTTAGATCTGTACACTGAGGACGGACTAAGTGAAAGCGAGTCCTTCACCAGCGACATCTCAGCTGCTACCAACGACACCGATGCGTACAGCGACGACGGTCAGAACAGAAAACCTCGGAATAAAACCTCCGCGGCTGCCAGAGGTAGAGGAGGTAACAGGGGCAACCGAGGCAACCAGCAGCTGCTAAAAACTCGTTCCATTAATGACCTCACCTCTGCTGTCAATGACAAAAACACAGACAACGATGATGGGACGAACAAAAGACGAAGGCCTGTCAGAGGTAAACACCTACACAACTACACCAGCTGCTACACCTTTAATGGGTGCATAAATTAAAACTGTTGTCTGAAAGAACTGTGTAAGATGTAAAAGAAGAAACAAAACTTCATAACGTCCTTTCTGGTTGCTTCCCGTAGATAAAACTGAGATATGCATGTATTTCATCAAGGGACATTGTAAACATGAGGGTGAGTAATCAATGATCGTCATGCAAAACTGTAATTTTTACACTTCTTCACTTCAGGTGTCAATGATATTGTTTTTATGACCGATGTGTCCTCAGATAAGTGTTTTAAAGCTCATGACAAGATGCCGTACAGATGGGAGGTCAAAGAGGGTAATCAGTGGACCGCCATGGCTGATAATGAGGCGATTGAGAAGGACTACTGTGACCCCAAAAACACTTACAGGTACTGTCATCTGACAATTCTGTAATTCTGGGAAGATGCTACTCTAACTACTACCACTTTTGACTAAAGCTCCCATATTTTACACTTTTCTGGTGTTGATCCATAAGAAGATATATTTGTGGTTTTAAGAAGCAAAAATCATCTCAATGTAGTTTTACATCTCCTCTCTCAGACTTCTCTCTGGAGCTCTAGTAACAACAGGTTGGTGAGCCAATCAGAAGAGAGGAGGTTCTGTGCCTCTATTTTGATCGGCTGACTGTTTTATGAATTGTGGGACTCACAATCGACATCTTAAAATAAATAGTGGTCAACATCGACCCAGCAGGGCCTGAAATATTCAGATTTTTAGTTACTATAGACCCATCTCTGAAAACAGAGAGTCCTACGTTTCCCATGATGCAACTGGATAACAGATGAACCCTGGTGACATCACTAGGGATATTTTTTTCAGAATTTAAAAAACTCCCTTTAGAAACCCAGAAGACATTATATAATAGTTTTCTATGCTGAGTTGTACACCTCAAGACAGGTAAACTGAACTTGATTGTGTCCAGTTAAAATAATGATTAATAAAGTCAATAAAAAGCTTTTATGAGCAACTTGTTTTTATATTTCCATATAATTCTGATTCGTTGGGTATCACATAAAGCAGAGAGGGATCATTCAGTGTAAATCAGATGTTACTGAGAGCAGGAGAGATGATCATTTGATACAGCTAAAATAAATTATTCCATTTCCATGCTGTACCTGTTGTTTGTTTTTTTGTTGTTTTTTTTTAAAAAAGTGAGTTTTATATATTCACAGGAAATAACACTTTTTTGAATTTTTTTTTCTCCTGCTCATAACATGAATTGTGTGAATTAATTACTCATTTTGTTGACTTCAGTGGTACAACCCCGGCTGTGCATTTTGACACAATGACCAGTGGACTGAACAAAGTTCGGCGACTCTCTACCATTAACTCTTTGGTCGAGCCAACCTTCATCCACACCACCGAGTGGGTTTGGTACTGGGAGGACGAGTTTGGAAAGTGGAACATGTACTCTTCAGCTGTGAGTAACTTCTATTGTTAATGTGTGAGAAAACACCAGGAATTTTCTCTGGATGCCACAGTTTAGGGTCCAACTGAAAATTTCTGGTACATAAGTCATCGACACTCAAAATATAACCAATTTCAAAGTTGCAGTTCAGCATATGTTTAATTCCAGGATGGTCTGAATTTTGTATTTGCGTTGTTTGTTTATGTTAAAGCACCAATGTGTAGGATTTAGGGGGATGTATTGACAGAAATTTAATATAATTTTAATAATTATGTTTTCATCACTGATAATCACCTGAAACTAACAATCACTGTTTTCATTAGCTTAGAATAAACTCTTCATATCTACGTAGGGAACGCGTCGTCCTCCACGGAGCTCACCATTTTGCTCCGCCATGTTTCTACAGTAGCCCAGAGTGGGCAAACCAAACACTGGCTCTAGAGAGGGCCTTTCTTATTTTTACATTACCTGAAGGCCACCGTAGATTCTCCTACATGCTTGGGAAGGGAGGGGTACATACTACACACTGGTCCTTTAAAGCTGCTCTAATCGATCTTTTTTTTAATAGGAGCAAAGGTTCAAATAACTATTTTTAAAGTGAAAGTGACACTCATAGTGATGAATCCACAGAGAACTATCACTCCACTCTGCAGTTCCCCTCAGATGTATGGAGCATTGTAGTGTCCTTCAGCTCAGTATTTTGGTCTTCAGTATCGTAGCTCTCATCAGTGAAGGAGGCAGCTGTTAGCAAAAAAAGTTCAAAGAACCCACAGTATGCTACCTGCCAACTCAATAACACAGGAGACACAGTTAGCAAGCAACTAGCTAGCGAACTTAGTGGAGCATACAGTAAGAGTCAGATATTTCCCTCAGATAAACAAATTCGGATTAAAAGAGCGTGAATACTGGACTTATATTGATCAGGTGACTAGAGACACAATGCTAAATGAATGCCATCTGACTGCTAATATTGCTAACTCACTGCTGGATGTGTAAGTAAGCAACAGTTTGCTAGTAAGTTTGACATATCAACTTTTAAAGTGATGAAGTTTCAGTGTCGTGTTAACAAGTCGTAGCTCACCCCCCCTGGTAGTCAGTTTATATTGTTTTTCATAACATTAGCAGGTATTTGCTGTTTACCATCATGTTAGTTATGTAATACTAAATGGTAAATATTGTGAAATAGGGATGTCCCATTATCTCCTTGGTATTGCAGCCAATTTAAAGGTCCCATATTTTACACTTTGCAGTTTTATTTGAAGTTTTGATCCATAAAAAGATATGTTTGTGGTTTTTAATTCATACATATTTGACCATTTTAATGCTGATCACAGTTTGAAGTCATTACTCTTCCAGCAACACCGCCTCATAAAAATTGTGTAAAAATCTCTGGTTGAAACAGTGAAACAATTCCTATCAGTGTTGTGTTAGCAAACAGTGGAGCAGCAGAAATGGCTGTAGCAGCCCCAGTTTCAGTGAAGATATGCACACTGACAACATGCCTCGCCTAGCAAAGCAAGTGGAGCTGATTTGGGCTAAAAATGGTCACTTTTGCTCCATCTTGGATATTTGGAGGCACACTACATCCCTTAATGCTGCTGTGGTGACAATTCTGTTTAAGCACACACTAAAAAATTTTGCTCATGACAAGCAAGAAGTGAGGGTGCAGTAAAAATTATCATGTGTTATTAGTCTTGTAATGCAATACTGAGGTATCTGAGCTTCGCTGGCTGTGGTCCATGTGGACTCTGACAGTTATTGTGTCACGGTGTAGCTGTGTCAGCTGTGAGTCTAAAGGACAGAATTTAAACACAAATTGCACCAGGACTGAACTTCCCACTTATGATCTACTAAACCCGCACTGAACTGATGACAACATGTATTTACATAACCTACCAGTTCTTTATATACTGCTGTAGCCGTCTCATGTTTATTATGTAGACATTTCTTCTTGTCCTGTATTCTTAAGCTTATTGCCATACAGCTCGTCATTAAAGTTTTAATCTTATCCTTTATGGTTCTGCATCAACACAATAAATCTACAGAGGCGGAGAAGCAGCCAGGCTGCCTGAGCTGTGTGGCAGCGTCTCTGAGGACAGAGATTAGCACCAGCAGGGATTGTAACCAGATTACATGAATTTGAATTTGTCATGGTCATAATGGACTGTTGAATAAAATTTTTAATGCATTTGGTGGAGCTCCTGCCACTAAAGCTGTTTTCCATCTTTGAGAGTTACAGTTTGTCCTCTCGGTTTACTCTTCCTAGGAGAAGGTTACTTGAGGTTATAGACTTTTCCACCACTTTTCCGACTAAAACGCATTCAGTTTCTAAAGAACTGATCCTGGAACAGAGAGGATATTTACTTAATTCCTCACATTTCAGCCAAATGAAATTGAATGGAATTACCATGGTTATAATCATGCAGAAATATATATTTCATATCAAGCCATATAAATTACCACACTACAGAAAATTATTCATCATAATATATATATATATATATATAAATAATTTTGGTTGTTTGAAAACAATAAATACAACACTAAGCACCATTTGAATATGCTTATTTGTTTTCTTGTAGGCAGTTGGATGAGAACATTGACACCACTCTCATGTCATTATGCTGTATATGAAGCTAGTACCAGCAGCCAGTTAGCTTAGCTTAACATAAGGACTGGAAATACGGGGAAACTGCTAGCCTGGCTCTGAATTACAGTAACAAAATCCACTTATTCTGTTATGTATATGCAGCAGTTTTTTACCAAGTGGAACCAGATACAAACAGTGTCCAGCTCCTATACAAGGAGCTGAATAGATTTAATATATTAGTGTTAATATTGGATTTTATTTTGACGTAACTGTCAGTAGCGGTGCATTTGTTTTTCTGAAAAGTCAGAGGCCGATGTGAACATTTTTTTTCGCAATTTGTGTATCGTATTTATAGTATATGTGACATGAACTCGGCGTATGTTTGACTCTGCTGGTTGCCTGGCAACCTCACAGTTACAACAAGACTGGAATTTTGTTATCATGGACCAGTCTCTTGCTAGCTGCTTCCCTACTTCCACTCCTTTTGCTAATCTACACCAACCACTGCAGGAGCTAGCTTCATATTTAGCGTAAAGACGTAAGAGCGGTATCAATCATCTCATCTAACTCCTGGAATAGGTCTTTCTCTCTCTTTATCTCTGACCATTGTGCTGAAACCAACTGTCATCATTTTTGACAGAAATTAACATAAATGTATTTATAGTTGCTGTCGGCAATTATACCTGCATAACAAACCAAGTGGCTCCTGATTGGTCGAAATGATCACTGACTGATTTGTGTTGGTTTCCAGACTGGTGGACACAGAACAGCAGACACTGACAGCGCTAAACTGGAGCAGAAGTTTCTGGACAATGACAAAGACGTGGTGGAGTTCACCGCTGGTTCACAGTCATATTCACTCAGTTTCCATGGTAAACAAAGATTATGCAAATGATCTCCGCGTTTACAGTTATAAGATATTAATGTGGTATTATAATGATGTCTTTTTTTTTTTTTTTTACCTCAGACATGATACAAACAAACAAGCATTATGGCACTAAGAGGCTTGTGAAAAGACGGCCCCGGTTTGTGTCTGCAGTAGACGTCAAAGCAACGAGAGTGAGGTACAACAACTCAAATATACCACGTTGGTTATTTTTCCCTATTTTGAGACCTTTCATCATACAGACTCACAATAAAAACTAACCCTGACCTTTGTCTGCTTTTTGTCTTCAGAAGGCCTCTGGTTCAACCACATCTTTACGCTATACCAGACCACTGGGATAAGACACAGATCACTGCAACAGGATACAAGGTATTGTGAATACACTACACCTACAAACCATAAATCTAACTCAGTCGCCGCTGTTTCAACAAATATTCACGCCCAGGCTTGTGAATGTACATACTGCTAAATATTTTAGAAAAGCAAGTAACTGCTGGAAGAACCAAACCCACAACATCATCATCTTCATGGCGTCCGTATTTGCTCGTCTGTTGTTCATTTGTCTTCTGGGTTCGATTTTCAAAAAAATCAGTGCAGTGTTGTTTGGCAGCATTATCAGAAAATAAGAACAGCAGATATTTAAATCTTAAGCTGTCTGCATTGTATATTGTTATCATAATATAAACAGCATAAATTAATATTGGAAGCGTGCTGTTTTGGCAATACGTTGATGTGCTGTCTTGTACTAACACAAAACAAATGTGTGACATTAGAAGACCATAGCCAAATTTTAAACAGATAAACTTCAGAGAAGGCCAGAACAGTGGTGTTTTTTTTTTTTGGTACAATTTTATTCATTTATTTATTTATTTATAATTGGTAGACTTTTACAATTTTTGTTCAATTTTATTTATTTATTATTATACAATATCTTCTTTCTTTTTTTTTTTTACAATTTTATTTATGTATTTATTATTTGTACATTTTTATTTTTTGTACAATTTTTATTTATTAATTATTATTTATTTATTTATAAATCTTAACAATGGTGACTACATCAAACATACAAGATAAAAAAACAACAACAAAAAAAATTACCAAACACCTACAGCAGTCAAGCTTAACTCATTGTTTAGTGCCACCTGGTTGACGTACATAAAATGTAAAAGAGCGTGAATCTTCATATTGAGTTCATCAAGAATACCCTTCTGTCCTTACATACTGTTGATCCAACAGTATGTAAGGACAGAACAAAAAAATCCAACTTCTCGGATGCTTTACTATCATGAAATTAAATATAAATATATAATTAATATATCATGAACTCAATCACCAATGTTCAATGTCAAACCAGAGCTTTTTAATTACAACGGTCCCAGAAAAAGTGGATCAATCAATCCATAATTCCACATTTTAAACATTTGCCTGATACACCAATGTCATGTTTGTGTGTCTCTGGTATAAACAATTCTATAAATTATTTTATATTGGATCAAGTCCAGCATTCCCTAAATCATAAACTAATACTGGTTCTCCTCAGACTAGATTTTAACAAAGTGTGTAGAAAAAGAGTTCTGTAGATTCTTTAAACTTTACCTGTTATTACCAGCCATTAACTGTTTCTGTCCCTCTGTTCCTCCATGTAGTTCCACTTAATGACAAGTCCTGAAGAGCTGTCCAAGCAATGATCCATCAAGTGGTATATTTTTGGAATTGGTATGGATGTCTCCTGGACTCCTGCAGATTCAATATGAATATCCACAGTATGATGTAGTAAAATGCTTGGTACAGTTCTAAGTCTGGTCATTCAATCCTCTGTCGGATTTTGAAAGATGTAAAACAGCATCATCTTGTTAATCTATGAAGTTTTTTTTCCCATATAAAGCCTGTAATGATAGAATATACTTAAACCATTGTAGGTGGTGAAAACAAAAATAAAATCTTTGGGAGCCGCACAGTTTTAAACAGATGAATTCTCCCTGTGTAGTTTGAATTTAAATCTTTAGTTAACAGAAACAAACAAAAATAGAGCAACCAGAGGATTTAGTTCCCAAATTATTGGGATGATTCATTCTTTCATATTACTTCGAAATGAAATTTTATTTTATTGTCACTTATTACACATCCTAATATTTAACATTGTTCACCCACTTAAATCTAACTCTGACCCAAAGGCCATTCAAGGCCATCAAAGGCTATACTGATATATCATGCTTTTTTGCTTTTCTGCTTTTTTGTTGTATGAAACTAAAGCATGTCCTTTATTTGCTTGTAAATGTCTCTTCTTCTCTTACTTATAAGTTGAGTTAAGTTAAAGTTAAATAAATATTTCTAATGAAATATAATGAGTCTAAAATCTGAAAGAGACTTCCAGTTCCAGATTTTACAGATTTTCAATAAATAAGATAAATTCTTTATTAATAATCTTCTTGTTCCTAATTATCACATTTGTGCCCTTGTCTTTCAGTATTATGACTGATTTGATTTCTATTTGAAGAGCTGCCAAGTGTTTACCTGGTTTATTTACCAATAGATAATTTGGTTTGAATTAAATCTGAAATAACTTTTCAGAAGTAGAAATTCATCATCTTTAAATTCAGACATTTTCCTTTTGACACTTGAGAAGATTTTGATGGAACTTTTCTCCTGCTGCAGTGTCTGTCTTTTACTCTAATTTGTGATTCATTCATTTGTCATTTCTGATTAATTTGTTTTCTTTGCTGAGCATGAAATAATCCACTCTCTAATGTAAAATGTGTTTTCCAGTTGGTTTGTTCTCCCTCAGCATGTGCAATAACATAATGGTCTGTGTTCTTACTAACTCATTTAATAAACACTGGATCTCTTCATTCTCCATATTCTGTTTATTTCCTGTTGGCACAATAAGACAGGATCAGGGAGAATCATCACACATCACAATTTCCTGCATTTTTTTAATCCGATAAATATAATTTTAAAAAATGAAATAAAAATATAATCAGTAGTCTCTCAATTTTGGAAATAATAATCCACATGATTCTAATTAATTATTAGTAGAAATAAAATTTTTCAAATTCTTCTGAAGTTCTTTAAACACCTGTTTTTTCAAACTATTATGGTCTAATTTATCAAATGTATTATCAATGGCTCCTCCTGTGATAATAATTTCTGTCTGATTATTGTATATTGTCATCTGAATTTTATATGGAAATGCTTGGCTTGTTTCCGGAGGTAAAGACACTAAAGTGTAATTTTCACCATATGAAGTTCATGTTAAGATAAGAAAACCACGAAAAGTGAATATTAATATATTAATAATTACAGAATTGGCCACATAAGCCTCCCCCACCCTCTCCCTCTTTAAAGGCTAAATTTCCCCCTTTTAATCATTTAAAGAAAACAATACCTGCAGAAAGGCTTTTTGATTTTTAGTACCATCTTGTAAACCATGGACCTAACAGGTTTTTGTTATTCGTTACACAAAATCAAAATGAACATGGTCTAAATCTACAGCCAGGAAATGTATGTATGTTTAAAAAACAAAATAATTATCTCACATGAGGTCACTATATAAACCAGTATAAATAATCACAAAAGTTCAACTGCAACTTGACTGAGTGGCAGAGGCAACAACCGCGATGCAGTAATTCATGTTATAATAGCAATGTATCAAATAAGAATGTGAAAGGTGTTGTTTGTGATGTTGGACCTACACTGCTTCCTCTCGGCTTTACAGAGCCTTATATTGAATTTCAGCTCATTGTTTAGTTGTTCAGCTGATAACTTTATTGTTTTAGTTCACTCTAATAGTGTTGTTTTTTTCTTTTTTCAAAAAAACTACAATTATCGCCTCCCAGTTATATGCCTCCACCACACAGACTAGTTTTAGGTTATATCCCCATTTATCCAGAATCATGTAAAATATTAACCATTTGTGAGTTGCTGAGTGAAGAGTTATGGCTAATCAGTTCATCTTTGATACCAAGTGAATGATTGTAGATCACGATCAAGATTTCCCTAATAGAGTTACTGAGAAATCACGTTCATGAGAATGGGACAGATGGACGTAAGGACAACCTGAAAACATAATGTCTCCAGCCCTGGCTGTCTCCGGCGTGGAGGCATAAAAACCTCTAAGAATCCACTGCACCACCTGCTCAGTACCAAACATCAGATAGACACAGTTAGCAACCAGCCAGATGGTGAACATAGTGGAGCATTTAGCAGCGAAAGAACCACATATTTCATTCAGCTGGAGTTGGTGGAGACCAAAAACCGAGCTAAAAGTGAATATTGGACTTAGATTCATCAGATGACCAGAAATGTGACTCCACATGAATGATAATGTCCCTCTGTAACTGCTGGATGCTAAATAAGCAACTGTCACTCAAGGTGATGAAATGTCAACGTTGTGTTCGCAACTTGTTTCTGCTGCCTCCGATAATTAGTTACTGGAGGTAATTTTGTCTGAAAATGTTTTATTTTGTGAGAATTTTCATTGTTAGCCTGGTAAAAAATACGATATTTTCTCTGTGGTCTTTGTTTTCCAGCGAGTCTCCCTCCAGCGCTCCTCAGATGAATTCAAGGAGATTGAAACTCTTTTCTTTAAAACCATGAGAGGCTTTGACGTCGTCAGCATCGAGAGGATCCAGAACAAAGCTCTTTGGGAAGTCTTTCAGTGGTACGTCGGTGATTTTCATGGTCTGGAAACTTAACGTTAACTCTTATCTGATCTGTTGTGAATTTAAATTGTATCATCTAAGCTTGGTTATTGTTGTATCTGCCTGGTGACCACCACTGTCCGGTATTTAAAGTGTAACACAAGTAACACATTCTTCCTCCTGCAAATTCAAAGTTGAACATAGGAGTATTAGCTCATGTGGCTAATGTTAGCTAACATCAGAAAACTAGATGGATATTACTGTTTATCTAAAATAACTGTCATCTGATATCAGTCATAAAGTCAGTTTACTTTATGACTTTTCTGTACTGGTTTTGACATTTATCAACACCTTGTCATTGACACTTGTGGCCACGGTGACTGCTGTACAGCAATAAATTACATTAACAACTTTATGTTAGTACACAATCCTAAATGTACTAGTTTGATTGAAGTTTTATGGTTTCTTTGTTCCTGAATAAAGGCAGAAGAATCAGATGAAGAACAACAATTTTGGGTGCAGTTCTGAAGAAAAAAAGCTTTTTCATGGCACTGACTCTAAATACATAGACGCCATCTGCCTCACCAACTTTGACTGGAGACTCTGTGGAGCTCATGGAACTGCTTACGGCAAAGGTGAGATGAAGAAGACAATAAAAAAGACACACAATTATTTTAAATTAAAAAAAAAATTTACTCTTAGAGGATGAACGGGACTGTATGTTAAACCAATCCTAAGATCTTAATAACACACACACACACACACACACACACACACACACACACACACACACACACACACACACACACAAACACACTATATTTAAAGGGAGAGTTCACCCAAAGATTTTTGGGGTGGAGACTTTTTTAAGACCGGTGTATAAACCTGATTCACCTGATGAACCGTGTATGGATGCCAACCGGGAGCTCAGGGCAACAGAGAATGTTAACTGCTAAAGGAACTAGCAGATCTGAATAGCATGTAAACAACAGAAACACCAGCAACCAGAAATGAGACAATATGCTTACAGCAGCATTGCAATAAAAGTCCTGTTAAGAAATAAAGGGTTTCTAGAGGGATTTTAATTTGAAATGGTCACAGGGAGTGTTGAGTCTGTATTAACATGCAATGCAGTAACTTTGACATGGCAAACGGGAGCGACTCAGAATGAGACTTTGTGCTAAAATGCTGCTGGCCTATGGCCAATTCTCCAAATCAAACAGAGAGAGTTGGACATAAAGACCTGCCTCTAATAAAAGTCTGTCACGTTCTGGGATTCAGGTAAATAAAGGCTAAAATATTGTGGATCCCAGATGGAGGCTGTGAGCTGTGTGAGACAAAAAGAGAAACATATTCTGTCCCTTCTAACTTTCTCTCTGAGCAATAATTTCATAAGTAAATACAGCTAAAATCACAGAACTTTGTCTTTAATTTATTTTCTTTGGTGATTTTGTCAGACGACGTCACGGTTATAAAATCAGGATTTGACCATAGGTGATCCAGACAGATACTAGGTTATGACCTAGTCTTGTTTTGTTTAAGTTGTCCAATATTGTTTTAGAGTGATTGGTTCTGGTTCATTGGTCACAGCACCTCCCAAGACAGACGCTAAATCTAATAAACTCCTTAGACACCAAACAAATGATTGTTTATTGAAGAAAATAATTTGTAGCCGTAATCATTAGTTGCATTAGTATCCTTAGTGTTCTCATATTAATCTAAAAAATTTGAAATCTTTTTCTTTATCATAACCCAGGTAGTTACTTCGCCCGGGATGCCAAATACTCCCACAGCTACACTGATGACTCTGATGTGAAATCCATGTTCATCGCACGGGTGCTGGTGGGAGACTTCACCAAAGGGTCAACTGACTACCGCAGACCTCCTTCTAAAGACGGCGGGGATGTGAACTTCTATGACAGCTGTGTAGATAACATTATAGACCCATCTATCTTTGTTGTATTTGAGAAGCACCAGATCTACCCCGAGTACCTGCTGCAGTACAAGACCATGCACCCGCTAGCTAGCATGTACAGTACTACCACAGTAACAGCACAGAGACCAGTACCAGCACAGAGACCAGCTGCCATCCCCAGTAGAGTAACTGCCCAACCTACTGTATCAGCTTATCCACGCAGCACATCTTCATACCAACTCGGTTCACCCACATACAAACCCAGCACATCGGTTCGACCCAGTGCACCCTCATACCAACCTAGTACATCAGTTCAACGCAGCACACCAGTTCAACCCAGTGCATCCTCATACCAGCGTAGCACATCGGCTCAACCCAGCACATCTTCATACCAACACAGCACACTCCACTACCAACCCACACATTTTTCTAAACCCTCCTCACCAACCCCGCCACCAAGGAAAAATGATTCCTGCGTCATTGCTTAAATGTAAAGGTGAAGTGAGGCCAGGTGGTGTTTTTCAAATGGATAACCTCTGCTGAAATAGAATCGTTGTTTTAGATCTGAAGGAGCTAATGCAAAATGCTTTGAATAATTTGAATAGATGAAATATAGGTAGTAATATCCAGTGTGCAATATTCACATAGATAAAAACAGTCCAGTTGAATAAAAGTACAGTGAACAGGAAATATTGATGACAGAGCTGCAATGTTTTCCTCCTAATGTAACACTTTTTAAACAATTTTCCTGAAAATCAACAAAAGAAAATGTCCGGCCACTACTGTTACACACATATGAGAGTTAATAAACAGTTGGTGGTGCACAGTCTTCAGACAGCTGCCATTAAACCATTGCAGAAGAAGACAATAACTTTCCCACCTTAGCCACGCATTAATACTCTTTTGCATTAATACTCTTTTTTATATAAGAAATACATGTAAATACAATACAATTTACAATGTGTCTCCACTTTATAATTTCACTACAACTAAAAATATCGCCTTTGTTTGAATTGTTGTGATGTTGATTGATTTTGTGCATCGAAAATAAAATGTTATCTTCATGTTAACTTCACACAGGAACACGGTTTTGTCTTGAGGTTCACAGTAAACAGTAGTCTTGGTTACTGTTGCAGCTGTGTCTCTCTCTCTCTCTGTCTCATAAATGAATTGAAAACACCATCAGCGGTTGTGTTGGGCCTTTTAGTGAAATGAGGCAGGGCATGAAATATGGCTATCAGTGCTTCCTGTGACATCAGACATTAGGCCTGCAAGTCACCACCCTTCCTCGCCTCAATACACACACACACACACACAGATACACTAGCAACTACCTCCTGTTGTGTTTCCTGACGAGCTGCAGTGTGAATGGGAATATGTTTGCATGTTAAGATGGGATTTCACTGTAGTTATGCACCTTGGTTTCTTCCACTGGCAATGGCTTCACTATGATTTATACTGTTAAATAATAAGAAGTTCATTAGGAATTTCTGTTCTCCATGTTAAACTGCAGTGCTGTGTGCTATGTGTTTTGTGCTATGTACAGGCTTTTTGCACAATTAGAAGATCACCAAACCTGAATGCAGGTGTTGTCTGATCTGTGCAAATTTGAATATTCCTAAAAGAAAAGAATCACTGAAATAAATTGGTTTTTAACCAGAGAGAATTTGAGAGTAATAGCTGCACTAGTCAACATTTTTATATTAAAGGTGGATCAAACAGTACATGTACTCTCTGCAGTGACCCTCAGCTTCAAGTGTTTTAGCTTCTTTCAGCTTGTTGTTTTGGTTTTACAGCCGACAACTTTACCGTCTTTAGTTGTGTTTTTAGTGTCAGTCAACAAGCTTCAATAAAACTGACTGTGTGCTAACCGCCAGATACCAAACGTCAGACAAAGTTACAGTAGCAACTAGCTGGTGAACGTATCGAAGCGTTTACCAGCCAGATATTTCCCTCAGGAGTTGGTGGAGATGAAAGCGAGATTAATGGAGCGCAAACATTGGACTGACATTCCTTAGGTTGCCAAAAACATGACTTCAAATGAATTTTAACATTGTTCTCTATCAGCTGGATGTGGACATACAGTCCATGGTAAATAAGCAACTGTTAGCTTACATATTGGTCATATCATTTTAGGGTGATGTGTCCATTTACAGCTTCTTGTGACAAAAAACATAAGACAAACATAAGAACACATTTAAATTAAGACAGTTTTGGTCAGATGCACTTTCAGTGGACACAAACTGTTCAAGCTGTTTAAGATAGCTGGTGGATTTGAATATGTACCCCTGCAAAAATAATTTAGATTACAAGAAGACAGCAGGTCCCCAAGAAATCAATGACCCAGTTACATTTAAATACAGGACCTCTGACACAATCAAATCCATAAAGGCTTCTTTAAAGACCTCATAGGCTCCCATAGGTTTTGTTCTGGCAGTGAGATATTTTGTGTACGACATATTTTGTGTCAGATATGTACTGAAGGAATAGAAACCTGATTCCGTCTGGTTTCATGTTTTTAATTTGTGGAATCCTGTATCATTTCAGAATAAAATTGTTTTGTTATTCGAGGGTTTAGGGATATTTTCCCAAAGGACGTCTGCTGTATATGGTTAAGTACACGGGTTATTCAAGTACTTTTATTCCCCCTTGGTTCAAAACATTTCGATGGTTTTCTTTGCAGACAAGACAAACAGCAGCTTACAGAGAGACAGTTCCCAGGGTGAAAATGGATTTAGCTGTCACGACCACTGCATCCATTTCTCCGCCTCCCATGCTTCATTATGCATTTGCTGCCCATTAAGATGGCGCTGTCCTATGGTAAATGCAGCTGTGCCCTGCAGGATGCAGTAGCCCACCCAGTGACAGTAAATATCCACTGACATTAACCAGTGTAAACAGCCACTTCCTGTCTGATGTGTGCCCATGGCGTCTGCTGTCTTGCCCTGGCTGTCGTTCCCTGGAAGACAAGAGCAGACCCTCCAGAGCCGGCTGTGAGGAGCTTCCTGGCCACAGCGTATTGGAAAATCTGGTTTTCCTGCATTTCAAGAGCTAATGAATAAAAAATGACTCCTTCCCCCTTTGTTTGCGTGCATCCCTCCTGGTGTCTGAGGTGTTTATGTTTCTGCTGAGTCATGGCGGTTTAGTTCCAGCTGATGGGAGAATGCTATGGCGGCAAAACCACAGGGTGACTGGAAGTGAGTTGGATCTTTATTTAGCTGATAGCAGGAGAAGTTTTTGTTGAGTTTCTGAAATGTTTGTGGTGAATTAAATAACAGCTGCAGTCAGCAGGTCGACTGCGTATGCAGCCACAATAGATCAATGAAGCACCTGATGATGAGCTAATTATTAAGGGTGTGTGGTAACAGCTGTATTTTTTGTTAAATCAGTCTATTTATACCTGTTAGTCACTACATTTATTAGTATTTAAAAGTACTTCATGCAGCATGTCAAACCCAGTCGCTATACTTATTTTACATGGAGCAACAGGAGAGAAATTAGCTGAAGAAAAAACTGGAGGAGACTTTCAAAGCTTTCAGAGTTCCTGTTGGTGAAAGAGGACAAGACAGAGGATTTCCTCCATGTTTATCCTTTTTTATCTTTCACTGGTGCACTTTTACTTACTTCAGGCCCCCACTCAGGGGCAAACTACTGGATGGACTGATGTAAGATTTGGAATAGATATTCCATTGCCTTATCATGCCCTGACTTCCCCCGACAACTACTGGATGGATTGCCTTCGTATTTGGTACACCAATCCATGTCCCCCTCAGGAGAAGCTATAATAACGTTGCCGTTCTAACTTGTAGCTCTACCTCCATCACCAGGAGCCTGTAAATTTTAATATGTCCAATATCTGGTTTATGACCAAATATCTGCAAAACCAATGACATTTCCATTAGCCTCAGCCGTTCTTAGTGTTTATGTTGATTAGCAAATGTTGGCATTCTAACTCTAACATTTAAGATGGTGAACATGGTAAACATTATACCTACTAATCATCAATACGTTTGCATCGTTGTTGTTATTATTATATAGTAGTAGTATTATTGTTATCATGTTAGCAAGCCGATGGTAGCATTTAGCTCAAAGCACGCTATGCCTAAGTACAGCTTTACGGAGCAGTTAGCATTGCTGTAGACTCTTGGGGTGTCCGCAAAATAACTCATTTACTATGAAATGCATTTACCCCACATGTACCCTCTGCCAAGTGAGAGTCCAGATTTATGATTGTGCTAAAAAGTTCCCTTACAAAAATTTCACAGAATGGAAGGAAAAAAGTTGTCACTACATTCCGCTAACAATAAATACAATACAATGCATTGCCTTTTGTAGACTCTACACCTGTGACACACCTGTGTCTATTATACTGTAGTGGTGAAAAATGAATAAGTGAAGAAGTCAACGATTTTGGACACATAAATGTTTTTGGTTCATCATTAATGAAGTGTGCTGTTATATAAAACAGTCGTGCCTTGAGGCATGTTCAGGGACGAAGGACAGGTGGGACCCCAATGGGAAACACCTTATTGCATTGTGGTTAAACATGTGATAACAGTAGAGATGACAGTCTTCTGAGGCTCCACCCTCGTCTTAGTTTCTGTTCTGTGCAGCTGCTGTAAGCAGATTTGTCCTGCTGTGATTGGGTGACAACAGTTGTTCTGCAATTTGGGTTCAGCCTGTGTCTCTGTTCTTGTCACTCTCTCTCCCCCTTTTTTTTTTTTACACACACAGATGCAACAGCTGTTTCACTGATGCAAGAGGGAGCGGCTGCAATAAATGCATTCACAGCAGAGAGTTGGTTATGTCACAAATCCTCAGCATTAAAGGACCAACAGAGGGAATGAAGCTGAAACGAAGCAGCTGAAATATACATGCAAAAGTTGGTTCGGCTTTGGAATCGGACTCAAAGGATTACACTGCAGTGTAACAATAAATGTGGAATTAATTAGTTGCTATCGTAGCATCTGTGAGTGTGTTTGCTGCCAAAGGGCTGGAAGCTGGACCACAGCTTCTCATTAAAGTGTAATTAGCTCCAACACAAACCCAGGATTTGACTTTCATTTACAGTTACCCAGGGATTAACTAAAAGATTTCTTAATCCAGATTTGTTCTTATGATCCTGCTGACTAAGGCTTTGAAAGGAGAGTGCAGTAAGGGTTGTAGTTATGATCAAATTATCTTAATAATGAAGACATTGTGACATAAGATCAGTCACCAAATAATCTTCTAAAATGAAAGATATGATCAAATATTTAAAAAACTACCCAAATGATAAACTACACCTCATGCTATCAGCATGCAGTTTAAAGAAACTGGCTGATGACCGTACAGTGGTTCTCTGTCATGGCAGCAAACTTGCTGAACAAACAGACCAGAGTGGTTCAGTGCCGACATGGCTGCAGACTGTGGGTTAAAAGAGATGAATGATGTTGTTATTACACTCAGTTACATCAGTGACAGCTGTGGGTCGACATGTTCTCCTGCGCCTGAGTGCCATCATCAAATATTTACCTCCACTGATACCAGGCTGGCAGTTACCTCAATCATTTCACTCTCCATTTATATTTCTTATATTTTCTACATTAATTATTTTGTCAAAATGGTTGAATTGATCATGTTAATGTTGTTGTTTTACTGAAAAAGCAACTTTAAGGCAGCCTGTCTTTAAAGCAGTATTTATTGGCCACTAGGGGGAAGCAGAAAAACCTCTCAAAACAACATTGGCAACTATTATGGTGATCATGTTTGCAAAATGTTGCTTATTTACACATCCAGCAGACACAGAGCACCATTGGTGTGCAGCCATGTTCATGTTTACCTGATGGAAGTAAGTCCAATGCTGTGTCCCAATTCACGTACTTCCATACTCACATCTGCTGTTTTGAGTGCATGGGTGTGAGCGTGTACGGCAACATGCAGTGCACTAGAAGTACCCAGATGGTTCAGTCAAAAAGGTCATAAAATTGGGTGTAAAACATCCTCACCATCCTCAATACTCCTCACCCTCAACGGTTGCCATCTTGGCTGTGTATAGCAGAAGGGGATTGAGCATCAATGTATTTTCAAACTTGAAAATGGCAGCCTAATTTCCATGTCATGCAGCCAGCAGGTGGGCGACACTCATGGGCATGGCAACATGTTGCAGTTGCCATTTCCAGTGAGTGCACAACAACAGTTTTAATTTGGGACAACGCTATACTGTGGAAACTCATGCACTACATATACTGTGTACAAAATGCACTGCATATGAGTATACTGACTGAAATATCTGATTTAAGACACACTTAATATTTATTCTCTTATAGCTCTGTTTGGTCTCCACCAAAACATGGGAAAAATATCTGGCTCTTCAGCTGCTACATGCTTCACTATGTTCACTAGCTAGTCGCTAACTTTGTCCGTCAGTAGTTTGGTTTGGCAGTTAGCACAGTCACAGTTTTAAGTGTGTTTCTCTTTTCAAAAATGTTCAGACAAGACAAAAGACAGAGGAAGATAACATTGGCCTTATTTTGATACATGATGAAAGTAAGTCCAATATTCAGTCTCCTTCAAGCTCTGTTTTGGTCCCCACCAATCCTGAGGGAAATATCTGGCTCTTTAGCTGCTAAATGCTCCACTCACTTCGCTAAGTCTGTCTGTCTTCCATCTGGTGCTGGGCCGGTGGCCCACAGTAAATCACTGAAACAGCTGTCTCATGTGGCTGAAACAAAGTTGATGAGTGCTACGAGACTGAAACAGAAGAGTTAAGTTGTGGCCCATAACAACCAAAACAATGAGCTGCTCCACAGAGTGGATGTGAAACTGCAGAGTTGGGGGATAATTCTCTGTTGGTTCATCAACTTTTCACAGTACACATAATCATTTAATCCATTGTTAATATAAAAATATTAATTAGAGCAGCTTTTAACAAAAACATTATTTTCAGATTGATCTAAATGAGTCTATAATCAAAATCAAATTATTTTTCTAAAGATAAATTTCAAATACGACAGCAAAATAACAATTAAATATATCATAACTTTTCTTTCTTATTTCTTTCTTTCTTTCTTTTTTTCTTTCTTTGACTGTTTCACGTTTTATTCTATTTCTTTTACTGTGAGATGCTTAATTAGCCTGTCAGCCAATGAGCTTCACGGACGGACTGCAGTAATGAATGAACGACACCCTCGCGTTCCCGGCATGCATTGTGGAAATACAGAGAGAGAGAGAGAGAGAGAGAGAGAGAGACCAAGCAATGAGAAGAGACGAAGGAGAGAGAGGGAAAGAGATGGAGAGAGAGAGATAGAGAGAGAGAGAGAGGGAAAGAGATGGAGAGAGAGAGAGAAAGAGAGAGAGAGAGAGAGAGAGAGAGAGAGAGAGAGGGTGGGGGGGCTTGGCTGGGAGGCTGAGGAAGACCGTGGTCCTGAGCGCAGAAGAAGAAGCAGCAGCATCAGAAGGAGCAGAAGAAGAAGAAGGAGGGTCATCATCCGACGCTAGCTCATCACTGACGACCGCTCAGGTAAATTTGTGCGTATCTTCACGTTTATTCCCAGCATCTTTCCCGCGTTTTGTCTCCCGTGTGTGCTTCCGCTGCGCCGTTTGGAGAAATTTTGCTTCACAATGAACCTCGTCTTTTCCGGGTTTTTCATTTTTTTGAATTCGTGTGGCTCGGAGAAGACGCGGTTTGCTAACGCGGTGTGCTGTTGTGTCAGTCTGGTCTGAATCTGCAGCTGTGTGGTGCACACAGGAGGTTTGTGCAGGGATTCCCCTCAGCCATGTCTCTGCAGCCCACAGTCCGGGGGGAGGGGGTGTGTGGGGGGTGTGGCGTGAGGTCCATTCTCATCGATTTGTGAAGGGGGGGGGGGGGGGGGGGGGCGGGGGGGGGGGCAGGATCGTAAAGTCAGCATCCTGAGGCAGATGTCAGAGTGTATGTCTCTGTGTGTGGCAGTGCTCAATCTGTTCATCTTTTAACCCTGTTTTACAAACTGCCCTGAACACACCATCACCTTTTAGTAAATATGCTGAGTTGTGCTTGTAGATCAACATTCATCTGGAGACATGTTTCTGAGTGAAAGCTGCTCTTATTCTCCTAATTATTGATAGATTTATTTTACAGTTTATTCATTTTGATAAAGTCAAAAGAATGCAAACTGCAACAAAAAGAAATCGAAGGCTACATGTCTCAAAAATATGAAAATAGTTGGATTAGAGATGATAGAAATTATACTGCTGTGTATTTCATGGCTTCAGAAATCTCTCTTACAATCTCTCTTTTCAAGAGAAGGAAAATACTGAAAACCCACATAGAAAAAAATCCACAACCATGCATTTTCATAAATTAAATTTGAGCAAATAAATAATTTTTTACCTAATGCAGATTAATTCACTGGTAAATTGTGAATCAGCTTTTCCATCCTCAAAATATTCAAACATATCTAGAAGGCAGTTTTTCTTTTAATGGCAAATCAATTTGGTTTTTACATATTCCAGGTTGCTCTTTTCCCAAAGCTGTTGTTTTTCCTCTTCAAACACAGGATATACATATTTGGACATATATGACATTTTATGTTTAACATAGTTCACAGAATATTGATTGTCTCTTTCCAGTAACTAAACACAGCGTATGAATCCGTGCAAACCTGTCCCTTTTTAAGTCTAAACAGTGTTGTGTAGCCTGTTGTACAGTTGTTCTCAATCGCACTGATTTATACAATACTCAGTTTGTCCATTTTTTTTCTCACTCAGCTCCCATTGTGACTGGGTCTTAGATTTAAGGGGGACTGGGTCTACAGTTTATATTAACTGGAGATTGAGCCTCTGCCTGTGGTCGGAGGTCTACAGATTTATCCTAGCGGCATTAATACAAGTCCTTTATTGTCATTTTGAAAGTATAGATTCCAACTGTGTACTGTAAAAATGCATTGTCTGTTACCACCATGAAATATTAATCAGTCCATCAGAAGGCCGACACAAACAGACCAGACCGTAACCAGTTATCTATGTCGTCTCCCAGCAGATGCTCCCCAGCATGAATGGCAGCCTGTAGCCACTAATGACCCCCCCCCCGATTTTCTTTTTTCTTTTAGTGAAATGATGAATTAGAAAACAGCAGTGACCTTTTTGTCCTTAATTAGCTGGTTCAGTGCTGCTGCTGCTTGTTGTGCACCAGACTTTGTGCAGAAAAGTGTCCAGTGTGTGGAGGGAGGAGACTACGATGTAGAAACAAGTTGTAGTGATGTGGGGGCTGGTTTGTTGTGAATCGATATCCTGTTGATGCTGTTTATATTATGATTCATCAGCAGCCTTTTAGTCAGAACTCAGATGTGAATGGATGATGTGTTGTGTTAAGCTGGTCTGACATTGTGCTGCATTTTTACTTGAAAATGATAAAATGTGTGTTAGCATTAGCTGGTACCAATGAAATCTGTGGTTATTTGGCTCCTCCCACTGATGTGTGGCTCAATCAATGAATAACGTCTGGGTCTTTCCAGAGCTGAGAGAAGTTGTTGCTTTCAATCTTATTGTTTCCTGAGGTTGTTAGGAGTGAACCTGTCTAATCTCTGGACCAGTCCAGCAGGTACAGGGAGAATAAAAGGTCTCAGGTCAGATACTTCCTGCTGCCTCATTGTCGGTGTGTAGATATCAATGTGGCGTCTGCAGTGAGATATGCAGTGAGGTCACTTGCGTGGTGACTCGGCTGTGACTCCTCGCCTCAGCAGCTCGTCACCGCTGCTGCTGCTGCTGCAGACACTCTGTTGTGTCGCTGCAGTTCACAGGTTCACAGTTCATGGATGACTCTCTCCCCACAGGAGAGCAGTAAGCTATTCACTTTAGCTTTCAAGCTTTGTTGTTTCTAATTTACAAGTGGATTCCAGAGCTGTTCTCTCACTGATGTTCTGATTATTATCATTATTATTATTATTATTATTATTATGTTGTCCTGTGTGAAAGTGCCTCAGTAGTCAGTATGAAATGAAGGTAATGAAAACATTTCACAGCATGTTTTCATTTTCATGCTGAAATCAACAGCCTGAGCCTGTAGCGTCTTCCCGCGCTGCCATTTTAAAATAGCTTATTAAAATAGACAGCCGGCTTCACACAACCTCCCTCAACCTCTATCGATGTTTCACTGTGATCACTTTGATGTTCTACATTTTATTTCCATGTTCTCCGTTTTATGTCCCACAGTTTACAGATCATTGATCAGTTGTGGAAACACTTAAAAAATTCTATTCCTGCTTTCTTTTTCTTTTTTTTCTATTGGTGAAGCAAAACAAAAACAAAGATGGTGACATAACATTATATAACCTAATGTAAGCTTTTTGTTATTGTTATAGATTTACATTTTGAGTTATTGAGAGGGAGAGAAAAAAGAAAAGAATAAAAACACATGTATGTATGTATGTGTATATATATATATACATATATAATATATATACATATATATATATATATATATATATATATATATGTATATATATTATATATATATTTCTTTCCTATTCTATTTCTTCTTTTAAAATTGGACGGTTTTAAAAATGTTGAATGTTGCAAAACAAAATGTTCTGTAGAGTATATTTTATTACTAATATGATACACTGCAGTTCAGTGTAGACACTATAAAATACAGTATATTGATTATGAGCACTAAATATCAATAATCAGCTATTTTTGTGGAGAGATTACAGTAATGGCTTCCAACTGTAAACCAAGTCTTATAGAGCTCACATACTACAACACATACACATCTATATCAGTGTTACCCACACACTCCTCCTCTGACACATGAAGATCATTAACACATGATGACACTGTGTTAGAAGAAGCTTTCTTCATGGGATGTTTGGCCTCTTGGCTCTCTCCTAGTAGCGACATTAAGAAGGTGGCAGAGTGCCAGACGAACAGTGATGAGTCATAATGTTACCATCACTGTTCCCTAAAAAGTAAGAGTGGTGTGTTACTTAGCTGGGCTACTGCTTCGCATGTAGGACTAAAAGTAAAATAAGGAGCGGGTTGCTAAGCGACTGCAAAAACACTCTAAAACAGGTCGTTTTCTCACCACAATTTACTGTAAGCAAAGAATTAGTAGATGCTGGCACCTAAAAGTTATGAAGAACAGACACAAGGAACAGTGTATGTCATATAACAGGAGTCAGGAGCATGTACCACCAGGATTTTGTATGTCTGTGCATTTATGCTACTGTATGTGCTGCAGCTGTAACAGCTGTCTCATTAATATAACAGAGTGTTAGGTAATAGAATCTCATGTGGACAAGCTACAGAACCAGTCAGCTAAAAATTGGTGATATTCATAGAAGAGTACTTTGAGATTACAGATAGTCAGTGATAAACTAGCTGGAAGCTAACTGTAGTTTTAGTATCACCAACATTTTTCAAAGGCTGAAATAATCTAATTTGTTCAGCTGAACTTCAGTAGGTGGAGTCAGATGATGTGAAGCATGTTAGAGGCTCTGTGAGGCTGTATATGGGCACAGTGGAGATTTGAGTCAAAATGTTCACGTTCATGTTCAAATTAGCTAAGGCAGATCAGAATCTCTTTACTGATGTAAATATTTAGTCATAAATTTTGGACAAGGTGAAAAGTTAACTAGTCACATGAGTTAGTATGGGTCATCCTGAGGGGACTGTGAATGTCTGAACAAATTTAATAACAATCCATCAAATAGTTTTTGAGACAGTCTAAGTTAAAACTACAAATGTCAACGTCAGGAGATCACCAGAATCAGAAGGCTTCATCTTCCTGGGACCATTAATGTTTGCAAAAATTTTCATGGCAATCCATACAATAGTTAAATGGAACTGGAAATACGGGTTAATAGTTGTTAATATTAGTAATATTAGTTGGTGGACTGACTGACTGACTGACTATCCTTTTAGCTGCTACCAAGGGTAAAATAATTCAGCTCATAGTCATAGTTAGAAAAATAAGCTCATAGTCAGTGATAAACGAACCAGAGGGTGTTTTAGTTTTACAAACATTGCTTAAAGGCAGAAATAATCTCATTAGTCGAGTTAAATCATGCGAGGCAGAGTCAATTGCTCACATGCAGTAAAAGTGTCATACAGCAGTTAAAAAGGTGAGAGAAAAGACAGGAGGAAGATCATATGAGGCAAAAGAATCTGTTTTTAAAAGAAACATAACCAAAAATTTGAATTCCAATTGAAGACGAGTGAAAGCATTGCACAGAAAAACAAAAAGCATGATGATTTGATTATTCCTAGAGCCTGATGGCAGGATGGTGTTACATCAAGGAAATTCAGAGAGGTCCGTAAATTTCACAGCAGTCTGCTTATTAGCATGAGATATTTTTGACATTTAATATTATTATTATTATTACTATTAGCTTTTTTCAAAATATTGTGACGTTAAAGAAAATCTAAAGGGGTTGCCAAACACATTAGGATTCATCGTCTGGGGGCCAAGAATATGTAAAGCTAATTCCATAGAAAAAAACTTTCTTTTGAGATTATGGACAAAATTATTAGTCAAAGAGAAAC